TTTTTTTTTTTTTTTTTTTTTTTTTTTTTTTTTTTTTTTTTTTTTTGAGTATTTTGAGTTAATGCACAATGAGGAAAGGGCTACTTAATGAGTTGCAAGAAAGACAAAACTTCCAGAATGAGAGCCAATGTTGGAGTACCCCACTTTATTAGTGAGGAGTATACAATACTGACTATACAGAAAGTACTGTCTGATCTAAAATTTTGTTTGACAAAAAGAGGCTGCCATCGGGAATGCAGCTTTAAGGAAGGATGTATAGCAAAACGGATGGTGTTTAGGGAGGGGGTCCAACATGCACCTGAGTTCCAAGGGGTTATTTGGTGTATTTCTGAAGAATTAATTACACGATATCAGATATAGAAGATACCTACCACACCTTGTTCACCCCTATTATGGGGGAGGTAGTTTATTAATCCTTTCTGTAGTCGTATGCCTTCAGATCTGGGGTCAGACTAGCCTGTAACTATTCCAGAATTTAAAGAATTTTGGAGACCTGGCTTGGATTCCTCACCACCCACCCCCAGTCCACACAATAAATAAAACTTGAGCCAAAAATTTTAGCCTGTTCCAAGTTTGTTTATTCCTGCCCCAATCTAGGAAGGAATCAGTTTCTGTTCAAGAGTATCCCTTTTTCCCCAGTTGTATCTAGTTAGACTGCGCACTCAAGGTCACACAGCAAAGCAGTGAAAAAAAACTGAACAAAAACAAATAACTCAGGTCATTTTGCTCCCAGTCCAATACCCTATTCACTAAACTACACTCAATAGACTTAATTCAATAATTAATAAATCAACAAATGGAAACTAGTCTATCGTTTACCAGGTCCTGGATTCAGGAAAGGAGATTAAGTCAGCTACCGAGGCTCGGGGTGGCTGCAGAACTTCATTGTACAGCCCTTTCTGACTACTTCTGTAACCCTACCTAGTGATCTGGAAAGGAGGCATAGCATTGGGTTGAGAATTTGTAGAGCCTTACCCCTCAGGAATTCGATCTGTTCAGATGCATACGTGCACAAGGATTGCATTCATGTGCACAAAAACTGTACAAAGAGGAACTTTTGAAAAGGATGGTTTGTTTGTAATTGAAGGTCTAGAATATTTCCTCTGTACAGGGCTCCTCCTCTCTGTTTACTCTACAAAAAAAAAAAA